TTTTTTTTTTTTTTTTTTTTTTTTTTTTATTTTTTTGATTTCAGATGAAAATAGAAACATCACAGGACATGACATAAATATTAATATAAAACGTACGGGGAACGGCATCATGAAGAATCTTGCGCCGTAGTCGCCTTGCAATGTTAGTCACACAGACACCCTCCTCGACGGACAATCTGCCGAATATGCTGCCGGTACTCGAGGAGGAGGCGGATGTCGATGTTGACGATGCTTTCCCGCCACACGTTGACGCGACGAACATCATCATACAACCGGAGTCGCCCACCAGCAAGAAGCAGGCACTGAAGACCTTCAACGAGGTCAACGCGCTCCTCCAGGCCGGCAGGAAAAGGGAGGCTAAGTTGATCATAAGGGAAAATGCGTGGCCATTGAACAACGGGATCAGGACGCAATTGTGGCCAGCCCTTTGTCAGCAACACGCACATGGGAAGAACATGCTTGATGGATTCTATTGGGACATGGTTAATCAAGTATTTGGAACTACAGGTTTGTTTTGAATATTGAATTGACATTACATATTTATATTATTAATTAACATTAATATATTGCATAAAATTATATATAGTATATATAAGAAATTGATATTTCTTTAATTTAAAGTTATGAAGTTATAAATAATAAATAATATTTGCTATTCTAATAATAACGAACTGAAATCTATCTGCATAGATATATATTATTAGCATCTCTATATGTGAAACTTAACGAGAAAATTTTTTGGCTAAAATTTGTCATTACAAAAATTACTATGTTTCATATAGAAAATCTTCTTTCTTGTCAAATTAAATATATAAATAAATATTTTTATTTTTTACTTAACATTTTATCTAAATAGAATGATTTATTGTTTTTTCTTCTTAACTAAAATATATTAAATGATACAACACAATAAACTTCTTGAATTATTATAACATTTATTATTGAATAAATTTGTGTAATTGTCATGCAGCTTACTATTTTATAATAAATTAACTTAACGTAAATTCAAGTACAGTTGCATGTTTTTATTAGATAAGCGTATGTTTCTTTAACCAGATCTTATCGGTTATATAATATTTAACCCTACCATTTGAGGGTTAAGTCAATTTAGAATTTTTGCTGTAAAAACTAGATCATAATTATCTTACGAATGTATTAAAATTGCTTGCCTTTACAACTTTCTAGTAAATAAAATTAAAAATAGGAAAAAGATTGCTGATTTAGTAATTTAATAATTGATTAAATTATACTATTTTTGTTGAGAAAAGCTTATTTTAAAATTTATTTTCTTTATATTAAAATATAGATTAATTTTTCTTTGGCTAGAAAAAATATAAAAGACAAAAATACAAATGTTCAAAATGTCCTACATATCGCAGCTGTACATTAAGCCTCCTGTTCATAATGTAAATACAGAGTGTATTTCTGTGATCTAAAGCCAGTTTTCATCCATTTACTTTTCACGCTATTGCTTGTTTCTTAACGGTCACCAATATTTATAGAATCTTGATTGACTGCAACGGTTATTATTATACGTTATAATATATAGGTTTTTACAAGATGTGATGACATATAGTAGCATTAATTTAAAAGATGATTAAAGATATAGAAAATAATTCATACATTTGCATGTATATATCTTTTTGATTTAAATTAAACAATGCTAATATATTTTATAAGAGCATTATTTTAATTATTCCATGCTGATTATAAATTTATATTTACTTTATGAATTATAATACGCGAGCTAGAAAGTTCGTATATTCGAATTATATTTCACATTGATTTGTATTTATTATTAGAAAAAGATGATATGTAACACCTTCATCCGGTTGGTGTGAAAAATGATCAATAAACAAGAAATTCAACTACTATAGGCAGTCAAATACGACGCTTAAAATGCTTAAAATAGATTACTTTAACTCTACTCTGTTAGGTTACGAATCCATTTGAGAGTAAAACTCTTGAAAGTTATTTTTTGCTAGTGGATACTGCGTTAACAGTGAAAATTAATGTCAGATGAATCTACTCACATTTATTTATATATTTATATCCTTAATTCATTTTCAAAATATTTAATATAATCTAATTTATTTTAATTTCGATCCTTTTTTTTTAAATTATTATATTTAAATGTAATTCCAAAATACAATAGTTATATATATATAATAATATTTAAAAATTAGTTTAAAAGCAGATAATAAAAATTGAATTACTAATTTTTTCTAAACTATATAAATTATTATTTACGCAATATTCAATATATTATGATATGTAGAATTTTCAAGCTATAAGCTTCATAGACAACAACTTATCGATCTTCTTAAATTATTGAAAATCATATAATCTTCTGTCTTACGTAGTATCTTATACAATATTAAATCATATTATGATATATTCTCTAAATCTTTCAAATTATCAAATATCAGATGTTGACAAATTGTCATCGGAACTTACTAAGACCAAATGTGAAA